TTCTCGCCAATATTGTACCTATTCTATTTCGTGGAACTAAATAACGTTGTTATTTTATCGCATTCTTTACGAAAGGACACTTGTACCTGTGTACCGTCCTGTTTGTCGGACTTACTCAGTTCATAGTTAATCAATTGCGAAGGAAAGTTATGTTCTTCATCATGTCAAAACGGAAAATTAAAGTACTGTCATTAAGTTATAAACTTAAAATAGTGAATGCGTTTGAATCCGGAAAATTACGAAATGAAATTCAGAGGAAGTTTAATTTACCAGAATCCACCTATTATAAAATTATAAAATCAAAAGATACCCTTATAAAGTACTTATATGTCGAAATCTAATTAATGTAACATATACACACTATTAAAAATATAAATGTACATAATATATTATTCAACTAATTTTATCATATTATATATTATTTACTACATTCGTACTTGCTGTGACTTGCGAGGTACGCAACAATAACAAGTCAGCAATATAATAAGAGAGAAACGCTACCCATGTACCTGCATTAGCGAGAAACTCGGGTTAGTGAGAAACCTCTATAAACGAGAATGAGATTGTGCTCCCTTGAACTCTCGCTTATCCAGGTTTGACTGTAATAATAAAATTTATAGTTTGAAATTATAAATAATAAAACATCTAAATATTTATATCGTCTAACATCATTTTGTTTCAGAAAGAAGTCGGACACCATCCTCACCAACTAGATTGTAAGCGCCAGTGATAAAATCTAAGATCACTTTCACGCAGGACATGATTGCTTTAATTGCTTAGACCTAAGAACTTCTACTTGAGTTGACGCCCTTGTAATATATTGGCGGCTACTGGTAAGCATAGAAACCAGGGCATAGAATAAATGTACCTAATGGAGTAAAATTAAATATATTCATTTTACGTGCGCAAAAAAACGTTTCAAGATTTTTTTTTTTCTTTACGTTCAAAGAATCGTTTTCTTGCGCCATGTGAGTCCTACTCGTAAAATGACGTAGGTATATGTGTTCATGCGCTGATTTTGTCATATTTTAAACAAAACAAAACACATAATTTATAAAATATATATTTTAACTATCCTTTAATCTATGAAAAAACGGTTTTATTTAAATGTGTAGTGTTCACGTAAAAATAAGAAATCATACAATGATTTCTTATTTTTACTCTCACTGCCGACTCATACTGCCGAATAAGCGAGAAATTATAGTCCGTGTAACAGAAGAACATATGTTTTTTGAAAATTTAATTTTTCGATGTCTGTTTAATAATTTGGTAACTTTAAGGAATTACATAAACATTACTTATAACCAATGAAGAAATCGTATCAAGATTATAGACTAAATACATTATAGATTATAGTCTAAAACCTCAAAATAAGTCACGTGGCTGCAATGAGATACTTCTCATACATAATTTAAACCAGGTTTTTTAATCAGACTAAGATAAAGTTGCTCTCGTGATAAGTAAAAAATAAAAATAAGCAAGTAAAAAATAAAGGAAGCATATGTTTCGACTACGCGATAAATAGCAAACAATAAAAACTTTAAGGTCACGGTCAAATTTGGGATTCATTTTACTTTGGTGTGTCAAAACTTTGTGGAAAATTATAAATTAACAGAAGCAGGCGTTTATTTCTAACAACTACTGTAACTAGTTTGTTTTATAAAAACGGGCGAAACGAGCTGCGGCTCACCTGATGGTAAGTGACTACTGCCGCCCATGAACAGCTGCAACACCAGGGGAATTGCAGGTGCGTTGCCGGCCTTTTAGAATGGAGTAGGCTCTTTTCTTGATGGTCCCTAACTCTTTCCTTTAAGGTCCTTATGTCATATCGGTTGTATTTATGTCGTAACTTTATAAAGTCACCCTCCTGGGCACAGGACTCTCATTTATGAGGGTTTTAGCACAAAGAAGGGTCCATCGTGCTGCCTTAATGGGTGTTGGCGGTATGTATATTTCTCCGAAATATATTTTTTTTATTTCACATATAATCAGGTTTCCTTACGCTATTCTCTCACCGCCGAGCATGTGGTAAATCATCACTTAAAATTGCAATGAATGATATATATATATATATATATATATATATATATATATATATAGTTTAATTAGAGCAACGCGCTCATAGCAACATAATGGTATTTTTTGGTGGTCACATCATGGTGTAATTCACTATAATTTTCCTCGGGTGTATCTAAAGACCGCAGATGTCAAACTTATACCCGATTTTTTTTAATTACATTTAGATAGATACAAATTACATGAATAATATTTTTTGATGTTATTGACATAATAGAAAAAACTGAACTATATATATATATATATATATATATAATCGGAATCTCGGAAACGGCTCCAACGATTTTCATAAAATTTAGTATCCAGGGAGTTTCGGGGGCAATAAATCGATCTAGCTAGGATTTATTTTTAGAAAATGTATTTTTGCCCGTGTTTTCAGGCAATGAAAAACTGCTACAATATAAGAAGGTAAATTTTGACACTGTGTTAATTATCGTTATAGCTCAAGTGGATATCGAGCGGTCGCGAAATCGTAATGCCTTGGTTCGCGTCCCGCTTCGGTCCGACTTTTTTTTCCTTTTTTTTTCAAGTTCCCTTCTTTTGTGAGAAAATCTATTATTTCGAGCCCTTTTTTTTAGTATTTTTTAAAAATACGAAAATTTTAATTAAACTAATTGCACTCATGATTTTTTATTCAAATAACTAGTTCAAAAACTGAACTAGTTAGAAACTAGAACTAGTCTATTATGTCAATAACATCAAAAAATATTATTCATGTAATTTGTATCTAAATGTAATTTAAAAAAATCGGGTATCGGTCATCCGGGTATAGTAATAATATAAGATACATGTCAAAAGGTCAAACAAATTAAAGAATACATGTCCAATAGATCAAATAAATACCAAAAAAATACATGCCAAATAGATTAAAAGTCAAGTAGATTACATGTCAAATAAATTAAGCAAAATGTCATTGTCAGATTGATTACATAAGTAAGATTAAAAGAATATATTACAATATGTCAAAATTGGATGTCAAAAATAGAAGGGCTTTATTACATAGTTGCCCTAAGCTATCTGCAAATAAATCAGTCTCGTTATCATCTGCAAGCATGTCTTCGATAAGCCGTATAGCACGAGAAGTGGGCGCGTGAGCGCCGTACCTGGTGCGAGCGGTCGCCGCCGTGGTGCCACCGTCCCCTCCACATCACAGCCCAGCCGCTTCGGAGCTAACAACCCTATTCTACTTAATATCTTCGGACTATCTATTCGATTATGGATGATTGCTCCGATCATGGATCCTTGGCACAGGCGCATTGTCATTAGGCTACTCTGATCATTGCTACTCATCCAGTTAGCTTCCTTCTGTTGCCTCTTACGACATCAATGAGACGAGTGGGGTAGTGGATATTTTACACCGATACCGCTCTTTGCACACCGTTACCGCTAAAGCCTATCAAAGTCCACTGCTGAACATAGACTTCCCCACAGATTGCCTCATATTTGGGATATTTGCCTTAGTTGCCAAGCTTGGTAAGCAGATTTGCATCCGCAATTTTTTATGTTTTATCTGTTAAAAAAAAGGTACTACTGTCCATCTCAGACACGACACCAACGGGACTATTGGGGGGTAATGGATATTTTTTCACCGCTACTACACGGCATTAGTAATAAAAATACTCAAAAAGTTAAAAATACGATTGCCAAGCGTGTAAACTATAGCAAAAGCGCTAATGCAATAGCTAAGAAAACCACTAAGGCATAAGTGAGCTCGTGTAGTGTTTCCTTCCGACGAGGACATAAGTTTAGAGTAATATTTGTGTTAAGTAAAGTCTTATAAATGGTTTTTTTGTAATATACGGCCAAATTTGCGGAGAAGGTTCAGAATAAGTGATATAACAAACTAGTGAAGGAAAACTAATTAAAAAAATCTCAAACATTCTGTCCTTTTTATCTTTTAATTCAGAATTCCTGATAATGGCTTATTTTAACTGATCGTTATTCATAAATATCTAACGCTTACTATTTTATTATGCACGCACACGTTGTTTTGAATTGCAAAATGTGTTGAATTGAATCGGACACAGAGGAGCGCGCGTACGCGTAGTTATTGCCCATAAATCACATTAAATTTGGGATAATTTCAAAAAAAGTAGAAACCTTATTTACTCGTATTTTCAAAAACTGTAGTAACGGTATATTATTATTTATATATTTGAGTTCAGGTATATAATTTGGCTATTTTTTGAAAAATACTCTGTATATGTCCCAATACTAAGCACAGGTCTCCTTGCCAATGTTGCAGTGCGTATTTGGCGTGCCTTAAATGTCTTCGAAATATTTTTATTTCTTTAAAATCTTTAAATGCAGGTTTTCTCATGATGTACTCTTTCTCCACCGAGTACTTGGTAAATAAGCACTAAGTAAAAAGATAAAAGTTTTATTGACGTCAGCGGGGATCTAACTCTTTTTGCTTGTTAAATGCCTTAGCCCTTGAGCTACTACGGTTGCAGCACTTTACATAACGTCTACGTATTATGAATAATAGTCGCGACAATGTCTTTATCGCTAACTGACCACGGAGCAGCGGTAAATATTGTCCTTGAATTACTTTTTATATTTATGCCGCATGCATCACAAAAACTATTTCACATGAAGGTTACATCGTTGAACGTATTTGGAAGACACCTTTCGGGAATTGAACCTCCATCCAGCAGCTCAGTCATCCTGTGATAGCGGTAGAGTTGCAACGTATAGATTTAAAATGAGTTTAGAATCTATTCATAATATATATGTATATTAGATAAGTGAACAGTATGACTTTACACGTGCAAACGTTTGCCGTGTAAATTGTTATTGTGTGTACGGTCAAAAATTGCCTTCGTTATTATACTGCATATTTTTTTAAATAAGGTCGAATTAGATTACTTCCTTAATCTGTGATTTAGAGATTGTTATTGTTAGTAGTGGCGCGGGAACTTACAATGGTGTACACATTTAAAGTTCTGATGAAGTTTATCGTTTATTTTAGCATCGGTATGTACATTGCTTCATTTTGTTTTAAAAGTATACTTAGCTCAATACGGAGTACAACCCAGTATATTGTGAGTCTGTGAATATAACAATCCCAGTAGTGTCCTTATTTTTCCCCAATAAATAAAAATACTGGCAACTATAAAGAATATTAAATATGAAAACATAACATTTTTTTTAATTTACTGCCGTTGCTGTGTTCGGAAAATACCTCTATTATTTTCTTAAACTTTACTGAATAAAGGCCTCGTAGGACGGATACATGCCATAATAATAATAATTATTAATTAAAATTCTTTATTAATTATGCAAATCAACCAGACGAGAAAACTAATATTATTTATTGAACACAGAATTAATATAGGTACGATTTATTGATGCCTTGACTCCTAATTTAGGATACCCTGTACGTTAGGTGTTGTTGTTACCCCCTCCCTCCCATTCATTTACCTTATTTGCTTATTTCCCATGTACACTAAAATAGTACATAGTCGCCACGTTTGAAAGACGCTGCGCCTCATCTCTGGTTCTAGTATCTGATAGTGGGATGATATGGTGTAGTATCAGATGTTCTTACGCGGCTACTATATGCTATTTTTTATTTATTCTGAAAATACTTAATTTTTTTAAATTACAAATATTTAGAAAATTATTATACAACTTATTTAATATGAATTGTTACGTAAACAACTTTGAAGGGATACCCCATTTTTATATTAGGGGTTATTTATATATTACCAGTTATTTTCATTTATATATTACTATCACCATTACAGCCTATAAAAGTCCACCGCTGAACACAAGCCTCCTCCATAGATTGCCCCAAAGAAGAGATTTTGCCATAGTTGGCACGCCTGGCGAGCAGGTTGCCAACCGCAGTTTTTTATTGAGTTATCATCAGGAAGATGCTGCTGCGCATCACCTGTTTCAATTTGCCTCTGTCGCCTGTTACGACTAGAGCGTATACATACAGGTATACCCGGTTCCTTGTTAGCTAAAAGAACCGGGTCCAAAATTATGATACCCGGTTCTTTTTCAATGGGTTAAATTTAAGTAATTTTTTTTATTTGACTCTCTTATGTTACGGTTCATCACTAAAATATTGAAATACAAGATTTGACCAACGAAGAGCAATTGAACAGAGAACTAGAGAAAGTTATGACAGGGACGAACGGTGATAGTGATGTTTTAGACGACAGTCTCAAGGTTACCATTAAATTTGAAATAGCTCTTTTTGAAAATGGTGGATCAAGAGGTCACTATCTCACAGCAGCTTTTGATAATTTAAAGACCATTCCACCCACAAGTGTCGAGCCAGAACGCATATTTTCTTCCTTAGCTAATAATCTCTTCGTCCTCATAAACATAGTTAAATTCTCTCATTTTTACGCTCTTATTACGAAAATCAGAAATACTGGAAGTGTTAATTGTGACTAAATGTAATTATTTTTGTTTGTTTGATTTTATAGAAAGAGAGACAGTTAGAAAGTGTTGATTTTTTATTATTACCAGAGAATCCCAAGACTGAGAAAATAAATCTCGTTGATTTTGTTTCTTTGATTTTATTTCGTTCTTTAATTCTTTAAATTGTTTTTTAAACTTTATTTGTATGAATCTCAGAAGACAAGCTCGTTTTTTTGTTGTTTAATATATAGATGATTTTATAATAAGTACCCGGATGACCGAGCTTTGCTCGGTTTTTTTAAATTACATTTAAATACAAATTACATACTGATGAATAATATTTTTTGAAGTTATTGACACAATAGAAAAAACTGAACTGGTTATTTGAATAAAAAATCATGAGTGCAATTAGTTTAATTAAAATTTTCGTATTTTAAAAAAATACTAAACAAAGGGCTCGAAATAATAGATTTTCTCACAAAAGAAGGAAACTTGAAAAAAAAAAAACTTGAAAAAATTGGACCGAAAACAGGACGCGAACCAAGGCATTACGATTTCGCGACCGCTCGATATCCACTTGAGCTATTACGGTCATTAACATAGTGTCAAAATTTACCTTAGCCAAAAAGAATTTTCAAAAATAAAACCCATCTTATGCCCCCTACTCCCGACACTAATTTTCCCTTCCTATATATATTCTCTTAGATATTAATTAACACTTATAACACATCTCTATTCTATCATTAGCATTAATGTGGTATTATTTTGCCCCAAGAAATTTTTTACTATTAAGAACCGAAAAGGACCGGGTACTGGGTTCGGTACGGGCCCGGAACCGAAAAACCCGGTTCTTAGATACGGGCCGGTTCTGCATCCTCTAGTTACGACACCCAAGGGACGATATGGGGTAATGGATATTTTTGGACTATCACTACACGTCACCTACTACAATAACTTTTTTCATATAGTTTTTGTTTTTGTTTTTCATTAACGAAATTTTTAAGCTTGTTGATGCCTTGTTGATTAGCTTTCATGTATTAAATGAAA